TGCGGGGCAGGATGCTGGCTGCCTGTCCCAAATCATTTCAGCGGTAGCAGAGTACCTCACTGTGCAGCCAGGCTCAGTGGATGGGCCCTGAAACCTCCAGAAGCTCTCTGAGTCCCATCCCCATTTCACAGGATAGGGCCAGGCACACGGATGCCTAAGATCAGCATGCCCCTCCCAAGGGCAGTATAGCAGAGAATCTTTGGGGACTGTGTTCTTGAGGTTCTTCTACCACTGCCTGACTTTAACAGGGAGCCTTAACCAGTGGCATCTCAACAAAGGCCCAGAGAGGGAGCCTTTCTTACATAGAAAAGAAAATCAGCCTGACAAGAAAATCTATTTATGCTGATATCTCCATACCTCCCAAAAGATTCCCTGCTGCGAGGAGGCAGTGGTGGCAGGTGAGGTGTTCCTAGCATTGGCTTTGTAGCCGCTCGCTGCCTGCCCAGAAAGCTCCTAGCAGCGCCTGAGCTTTGGGCTGTTTTTAATGCCTGTGGCCAGCAGGGGGCGCTCATAGCAGTTAGGACACAAGAGCTGGCCTCGGTGTGGCGGTGAGTGGGTCCCACCTGCTCCTGCCACCCTTCCTACAGCTTGCCAGACAGAGGGCACGACTGTTCACCCCACAGACACAGCGCCCTCTAGAAACTTAGTTCAAGGCTGCCCATGAGAGGCAGCAGCATGAGCTCAGCTCGCTATAAAAGCAACATTCAAAATGTGTTGTCAGGAACTTTAGTCCTACAAGATGCTTGTTAGAAGAAAGTTCTTTGGTCATGAGTTTGGGGTTGCATACATGCTCCTCTTAGAGCTTCACTTTGGACTTCAGCATGTTAAAGGCTCTGAGAAGTCCTGCTGCAAAGAAACTAACCCAGTATTTACCCAAGCTGCTTTTTTTTTCTTAATTCAACAGCTACTAATACCTTGACGGAGTGTTACGCCGAGAAACATTATTTAAGAGAGCAGGGTCTGCCTAAGGGTGGCAAAGATGATGCTGTAAGATCCCAGACCCCTGCGACTCGGCCTTACCCACAGGAGCCTCCTTTCCCTCTCAGCTGTGGTTCAGAGCTGTTCCTTAAACTGAAGTCTTCTTACCCCTTCCAGCCACCTCGGCTCTAGTCCCTGGGGAAAATGTTCCCTTCCATATCTGCCTCAGAAGTTTCCAGTCTCTCATATCTTTCCTGTGAATTATCTAGACAATGAAGGCCTTTTGCCTATAGAGCCAAAAGGTTGGGGTACGGGGAGCATGTCTCAGATGAGGTCATTCCTTTGACCCTCTCTGCCCGGGTATATGGGCAGCTGGTGACCAACTTATAAAGTTCGTCCTTCCACCGGGTATTTGTCATCTTTTTGAAGCCCATTCGAGTTTAAAAACAAAACCTTTTCAGACCCGAAGGAGTATAAGTCAGTAGTGGTAGAATCTGTTGTGTCACAGAGAAGATAAATGAACCTTTTTCTCCAGCATCCTTAAATCCCAGAATCGTGACTACTTTCTCAGGAACCTCATCTCTGTGAACCACAGGGAAGGAAGACACAGAGGTACATTAAGAAGACCATGGAGGAAGCAAAGCTACTCCCTATGCCAAGCAGGTATTTGTCTCTACCTCCCCTTGTCTTCCAGATTTCCTGTTTCTCTGGGCTGGGGCAACGGAACTTCAATTACTAGTAAAGGATATGTGAACTGAAGAAAAAGGAAGTACATCAGCGGCGGCCTGCAGGCCGCGGTGCTCCATCTTCACTGAGGGAAGAAGGGACAGTCTTTCCAAACAGGTGGAAGTGAAGGGCAAGGGATGCTGCTGCTGGCTCAAAACCGATGATCGCGGTTTGACAGCTCCCCAAGGTCGCAGGGCAGACTCTGCAGAGGAGTGACTTTGAGAAGGTGAGTCCTGGGGAAGATTGCCGCTCCAGAGACCACAAGGTCCCTGATCCAGCAGCTGGCCAAGAATCTGATTTTCCTGGACATGGGAAGGCACAGCCAAGGGACAGTTTTCTGGGGGACCTTGATAGGATTTGGGGATCATCCTCGGAGAGGTAGGGTACCTAGGAGAATCTGGAGGCTTGGCCAGTGATAAGTTTCCCAGTAAGACCCCAGCCTGGGCCTGGGCCCTCCTGGGCAAGGCGGCCAGAGGAAGTGGATCTTTATAGGCACTTCCCTCAGGTGAAGTCTCAATTCTACCCTCTGGCACCAGCCCCTGGAAACTTCTGCCCCGCTGAGTCAGGTGGCCTTGTGGATCCAATAGTACCTTTTGTAATATTGAGTCCACAGCCTGGGACACTGCCCCAATCAATTCTTTCCTCAGAATCTCCAGCAAAGCTCGTGTTCCAGAAGGAAGGAACATGGGCTCTTCAGGCTGGTATTCGACCTCAGACACCTCTCTGGGGTATTTTTCCACCCCAGAGAGGTCTCCACCGGACCTCTGGTGGTGGTCACTATCCACAGCCCAGGGCCTGGACCCATAGCCATTCCTCTGCTTTACATTGTGAGGACCCCATCCCTTCTCAGGGCTTCCTGGACCCTGAGCTGTGTCCCTGGGCTCGGCAGCCTGAAGGATGTGCTCTTGCAGATGTCTTAGTTGTTGCTTCAGCAGCTGAAGCTGTTCTTTCATGTGAGGGGCCCCCTTCCTGCTGCCGTGGTTCCCAGCAGGGCCTGGCTTCAGGGGGTTTTGCTGCATGGGAAGGCTCTGCTTCCTCTTCCGTTCCCGGGTCTTCTCTGGGCAGCAGGGACTGTCCCTGGCTCGGGTGTTGCCTGGCACCAGAGGATTAGGGGAGAGGCACATGCCTCGGATGATGGTCTCTACTCTGGCCCTCTTTGCCTGGATGTGTTCATCCCAAAACCAATCAGGGTCAGTGAGGCTGGAGCTGGGGACCTGGCTCCAGGGAAAGGATGAGTCTCTGCCCTGCTCACGAGGGGGTGGGCTTCTCCCACCTCCCACACAGGATTCTGCTGGGCGGGAGCAGGCCCGGGATGGAGAAGAAAGCACGCTGGAGTTTGGATCCATCTCCTGGCTCCACAGTCACTTGCTCAGAGACTGTGGGGTTACTCGGGGCTCTGTGAGGGAACCCCTCCTCCTAACGTCCTCAGCCGGAGGTGCAGTAGAAATGAGCGGGGTCAAGTGTTCAGCCTCTGGGATGCCCAGGCTTACAAACCTCCTGGGCTGACTCTGAAATGAGAGACAGGAAGGACATGGTACACGTGACTTTGAGCCATGCTTTTCAAACTTAAACGTGCAAACTGACCTTGTTAAAAAGCAGAATTGGATTCAGCAGGTCCGGGGCGGGGCAGAGATTCTGCGTTTCTAATCAGCTCCCAGGTGCCCTGGTGCTGCTGGTTAGGACCAAACTTTGAGGAGATTCCCAAGAGCAATCCCCCAGGAAGAAAGTTCTCTCCTGCCAGGGCATAGATAGCAATAACATAAGAACGATAATAAAAATGACAATAGCATCTAACTGCATAACTGGCATTATGCCAAGAACTTTACATCTTTTACCTAATTATGACAATTCCGTGAGGATGTTGTCATTCTTACTTTACAGATAAGGAAACAGGCTCAGAGACATTAAGAAGTTACCTCCCGAAGTCATACAGCCTGTAAGTGGCAGGCTGGAGTTAAAACCAGATTTGTCAGATTCAGCGGAACTTTCTTAGTGACTACCTGCACAGAATCACCCCTCACTTGTTAAAAACAGCAAAGTCAGTAGTAGGTCCCACCAGCCCTGCTGAATCTGATTCCCTCTGTGCTCCACCAGGAAACCTGCATTTGAAACGAGCAAACCAGAATTTGAGAACCGGCTGCTCAGCTCAGTTTAGGCATTCATCTGCATTCATCGTTCAACATTGAACAACTATTTATTAAGCACCTGCATACATCAGGACTTCATCTGGGCACTTAGGGCACTTAAAGGGACAGTGGTGAACAAGACCAGTAGAATTCTGCTCTTATGGAGCTGGCTGTCTAGCAGAGAAAGAGAACTATGCATCAGGACTTCATCTGGGCACTTAAAGAGACAGTGGTGAACAAGACCAGTAGAATTCCGCTCTTATGGAGCTGGCTGTCTAGCAGAGAAAGAGAGAATAAACAAGCTTATTTTCAGGTCATGATACCTGCCATGAAGAAAAAGCACAACAGGTGTTGCAAACTGAAGGTATGGGGAGAAGTAGGGAGCTATTTTAGAAAAGGCTGCCTGAAGCTGTTTTGTTTTCAAAGTGTCAAAATATACTGTGCTTTAACCAGGAGGCTTCTGATAGCAGGTATAAGGTACTTCCAGTTTACGAAATATTTGTACACGTTACCTCATTGCACCTCACACCACACGGAAATCAGTGTTATTCTCCCATTTAGCAGTTTAGGAAACAGGCTCAGCGAGGCCGCAAGCAGCTCTCACTTACTGAGATTCAAGAAATCTAACTGTGGGCGGTGAAAACACAACGCTACATGTATGTATATATATGCGCATATATATATACGTATATATATGCTTTACTGCTAAATTATACACCTGAAACTTACTGAATTTCATTAGCCAATGTCACCATAATAATAACAAATAAAATATATATATATAAATAAATAAAATACAAGAGATTCTGGGGGGAAAAAAGGATTCTAAGTCTTTCGACATAACCGCACTTTAGCTAGCTTCCTGAAGATGAAAAACCCTGCATAAGAGATTGACTTAGCTGTCTCTTAAGCACACTCTTCCTTTCCTAGAAGAAGTAAATTAATTTTTTTCTCTACAAATTTCCATTCTCCTTTGCTTCTCTAGCACAAAGGCTGGCAGGTGGGAGTTTGCTTTCTTCTTCCCACTTTCACCCTAAAGCTTACTTGGTATTCTCTACCTCAGGCAAATCTCAGCTCTTCTGTAGCCAGTGGGTCCTCGACTGTAGATGTGGCTACTTCTACCTGGAGCCTCCTGGTGATTAGCCAGAGACACCCAACATAAGCTCCGCATGAGCAATGTCACTCTAAGCGCCAGCGCCGAGGGTGGGAGGCGGTGACAGCTACAGTGCCATCATGGGGAAAATACCACTGAACGAAGGCTAGGTTCTCTGGTCAGAATAATTAGAAGATTCTAGCTTTGAATAAGACATTTTTAAGTTACTAAAATAAAAATAAATGACTTGCCAAATTAACTTAAAAAATTTATTATCGCCAAGTTTATACCAACGGTTTAGGTGGTTTACCACCTCTTGGAGAGAGAAACATTTCATAACTTCCTGTGACCATTTTACGATAAATATGTAGTATATATAATTTTAAAATCACATAATATTTTAAAATTACTTTAAAATCAGACCTTATCTGATAAGCATATTTGGATTGTTAAGCATGCATTAGCTGCTTTCTCATAATGATAACTAACTGGCAGAATTGATATTTTAACCAAGAAGAATGGTACAACAATAATACAGACTATAGATATTTTCATGTAAGTAGCTTCCAAAAAAAAGAGGGATTGGTTATGGTTATTCTAGCTGCTTAGTGAACATTTCTTGCTTAGACTCAACATTTCCAAACCCAAACCCTGTAGCTTCTCCTCGGCCTCTCCTCTCACCCTACCTATATCTCATTCAAGCTGGAAGCTGGGGAATCTCTCTGACTCCTGCCCAACTCCTCATCCTCAACACTGATTTGGGCACCATAGCTAGTAAATTTATGGCCAAAGTGGTTCTGCACTACATTCCATCCTGCCTTTCCCATTACATGTTCCTGATTCAGGGTCTCATCACTTCTCACCTGGACAATCCCAACCTCATGACCGGTCTCCCATCCTTTAACCTCTCCTAACTCTGGTCCTTCTTCTACAGTCATTCATGAAAACAAACATGGATCGAGTGCTAACAACAGACAAATACCCTCTGCCATGTGGAGCAAACATTCATGCAAAGGGGGACAAATGTAATAACTTACTAAGTAATAATGAAAGGCCATTATATAGGGCCTTTTTGGCCATTGTGAAAACGTTGGCCTTTACTCTGAGATAAATGAGGACCCAATGGAGTATTATAAGCCAATATGACCTGACTTAGTTTTAAAAGGATCATTTTTTTACTGGTTGAAGAATAGACTGGGGAGCGGGGGAGCAAGGCTTGGAACAAGGAGACTACTTAGGAGGCTCTTGCAATAATCTAGATGATGATAATCTAGATGAGATGACTTGGACCAGGGTGGTAGCATGGAAATGGAAAGTTGTGTCAGATTCTGGATATACGTTGAAGTTGGGGCCAAAGGGATTTGCTAACAGATTGGATGTGGGGCTCAAGAGAAGAAGTATCACTGATGATGACTGTATTTGGCCTGAGCTATTGGAAGGATGGAATTGCATGAACTCAGAAGGGGAAGACTGCAGAAGGAGCAGGTTTAGGGAGGAATATCGGGAGCTCAGTCTAGGACATGTTAAATTTGAGGTAATGATTAGACATCTAAGTGGAGATGTTCACTTAGGTTCAGTGTGAGATCTGGGCTAGAAATATAAAACTGGGGGTCGTCAATATGTGGATGGATGGACTCACCAAGGAGTGAATGTAGACAGAGAGGAGGAGAGGGCCGAGGTCTAAGTCCTGGGACATAATGACATGAAGAGGCTGGGGAAAGATTGGAGTCAATCAGGAAAATGGAAAGAGAAATCAGGGAGGTAGGAAGGAGCCTAGGGGTGTGCAAGGCCCTGGGAGCCAAGTGAAGAAAGTGTTTCTAGGAATGGGGAGAGGTCAAGTCACATAAGGGTTGTGAATTGGCCCTGTGAGTTAGCAATGTGGAGTCGTCTGGGATCTTGATCAGAGCAGTTTGGGTGGAGTAGAGGGAGGAAAATTCCAATTAAAGTGGATTTCAGGGAGAGGACAAGAGATATCGGTGACATGGACTATGATAACTCTTTCGAGGAGTTTTGTAAAGAAGACAGAAATGGGACGGTGGCTAGAAGAAATGGAGCCAAGAGAGGGTTTCTATTGAGGAATAACAGCATATTTTCGGGCTGATAGCAATGATGCCATAGAAAAATAAAATCTGTTAATGTAGGCAAGATGGGGAGAATTTCCGGAGCCTTGTCTTTGGGTAGAAAGGAGAGGACAAGATGGAGTGCACATGTGCAGGCATTGGCTTCAGCGAGAACTCTCAGTCCACCCATGGGAGCAGGAAGAGAGGCAGTGCCTATGGTCAGGTGCTGGCAGCAGGGCAGATGCGGTGATGGGAGTCGGTGGAAGTTCCCTTTTGTTTCAACTTTCTCAGTGGCATTGGCATTGGCATTAATTTTCTATAATGTATGTCTGTTTATGCCCCTTCATGAAACCAATGTCTTTGCTAGCTTCCTGTTGACGCTAAGGCTCAGCTGTCTCAGCTCCTTGTAAACATGGTCTTAATCTAATGCCTCTGGAGCCACTACCCTCAACACACAGCTATGGTTTTTTTTCTTCAATTACAGTTGGCATACAGTATTATATTAGTTTCAAGTGTACAACATAGTGATCAGACATCTGTGTAACTTATAAAGTGATCACCCTGATAGGTCTAGTACCCATTTGACACCATACATAGTTATTACAATATTATTGACTATATTCCCTATGCTGTACTTTACATCCCCATGACTATTTTATAAATGACAATTGTATTTCTTAATCCCTTTCACTGTTTGCATCCCCCCAACCCCCTCCCATCTGGTGACTGTAGACACTCACCCGTGTTGAGCTCTCCTGGGCTTTGTGTTCCCTAAACAGGCCAAACTCCTGCATGCCACATGTCTTTACATTTAGTGCTCCCGCTGCTTGAAGGGCCTTCCTTCCACTTTCACATCTGAACAAACCCCGACTCCTCTTCTAAAATCCAACTGAAATGTCAGCACCTCTCTGAAGCAATCAGTGTGTCTCCCCTTTTAGACTGCGAGCTCCCTCTGTGTCTCCAAGTAGTGCGTTACTGCCAACTGCCAACTGTCACCAAATAGATATTCGCTGACTCAGTTGAATAAATTATTCTGTAAGCACTTCATTTAGACTGATATTTTTCTCTTCAGAGGTACTTTATTTCAGATTCCTCTAGGACCTACATGGAACAAAATCTATACATAGAGAAGAGAGATATATGTATACACAGAACCACAAACTATGCCAAATTTCCCTTGTAGGTATCTTA